ACTTGAACTTGTCGTGTGCAAAGAAAGGTGAAAGTTTTGCTTCCGAAGAAGAACAAATTAGTTGAATCGTCTTTCAAAACAAGAGAGTTAATAAAGTCTTAAAAGTTTCCTTATTTACCTTTTGTTAGTATGAAAAAGCTAACTTCTTCAATATGATTTAGACTAAATTTTTTGCTTGGCTAATTGTGATAAATTGTTTAAACGAAATATTAATCGAAAACTTAGGGGCGGTCCGGTGGTGGAGCCTATCGTAAAGTGGAGGGGGTGTGTCCTGAATTCGTGCTGGTAATCAATACCTTAGAAATGCCAGATCGAACCATACCGAAAAGGTGAAAAGCTTCCTAAAATTCATCTATCAAAAAGGTATATTTTTAGAAATTTACAATGAAAATTTGTGGATCACCTCAAAACTTTTTGTGGTTACAAAGTAAGAATTATTCTTTATTTTGTTGAAAATTTCAAAATTCTACAACTTTTCGTTCTGTAGATATGAATTTTTTAATTTAATGTAACCTAACAGCTGTCAATTATTTACACGATTAATTAAAAAATTATTTCTGAGTAAAGTTATTGGATTGAAGAAATGAAACTTTTTGAGGATATAAAGCAAGAATTAATCTTTATTTTATTGAAAATTTGAAGACTCTACAACTTTTCGTTTTGTAGATATAAACTTTTTAATTTTACCTAACCTAACAGCTAGCAATTATTTACGTGATTAATTAAAAAATTATTTGTTAATAAATTTATTGGATTTAAGAAATGAAACTTTTTGGGATTATAAAGCAAGAATTAATCTTTATTTTGTTGAAAATTTGAAGACTCTACAATTTTTCGTTTTGTAGATATAATCTTTTTAATTTTACTTACCGGAATCACATTGATGATGTAACATCAATATACCGGACAGTATAAAATAAAATAATATATTAAGCCTAAAATTGTTCATAAAAATAAACCGTTAGAAACAAATCAATTTTAATGTTTCAATCAATTCCCTTATTTTCATCATATTTAGTATTTACTCCACAAAAAAAATGTTGCGTAATGACAGCAATTTCATTCATAATTGGAATTGAAACCAATAAACCAAACTAAAAATGGCAACATTTTATCACTTTTGTGCAGAAGCAATTATTAACTCTTACATAACGAGTTTATTTTTTCAGAGATTTTTTTGTATAGATTAAAAGTTATATGTATTTACAATTATTCTATTGAAACTGGAGTTCGTACACACGGCGAGAATATAAAATATTCATGCAAACACGCAGAGGTCGAGGTATTGATCCGACCCTTTTGTGCCTCCAGGGCCCCCATTTACCTGCCGTCGACGTCACCGTTTCACGTGTACACCAATTCATTCATCTCGTTCCACCACGATTTTAAGAAAAAAAATTATTTAGTAACAACAACCCCTTTTTCAGTTATTTTTAGATAAGTACTTTTTCCTTTATTAACAAAGTGGGTGTTATCGAAAAGGGGAGAAGAAGCGGAATCAAAGGTAAAGTGGTTTTGTGAGGGTCAAGTGTGGTTTTAGAAAGAAAAAAAAATGTAGTAACGAGAAGAGGAGGTTGTGTCGTTGAATTTATTAACAATAACGATCAATGATAAAAATAGAAAATGTTGTCGTTTTATTTACCAAAATAATAAGTTGGTCATCTTAAATAAAAAGGAATGTCGTAATTTGCAGCTGCAAAAGTAAGAGGTGATTAAAGTCAACGAGATGAACGAGATATTGAAATAAATTTGCGGTTGTTTCAAAATCGACGTTTTCCTTTCGGGAAAGAGAACGGATCATCTTCGTCGCGATCCCCAAGATGAGACCCAAGCCGGGTCTAATAGTAATCGTCGTCTCTAAAATGACAAATTACCTTTCCATATGAATCTTTTAAAATGTACACCGCGCACGACTTCGTTAAACCGTCTGGAAACGCAATTAAAGGACGAAACGAAATAGAGGTTTGGAGGAGGATAGCAACTCTATTCTCGAAATCGGGACCAAGGACGATGAAAAAGCGGCCGTCATTAAGGGATAATGAGAGCTAGTGGTGTAGTGAAACGGTGTCGAAACCTCAACGTTTTCTAACACCGCTAATAACGTTACTAGACGATTATTTACCAATTCAAAGGCAATTTAATTTTGCCCCTCGCTCTAAAAATATTAAAATTAAAATTATTATCAAAAACAATAAAAATAAAACTTTGTAAAATAAAAGTTGTTCAAGACGATTTAGATAATTTCGCAAATTCCCCGGATAATAATAACAAAGGCTTGCTTTTCCATCTCACGATCGTGTAACCATCTTCGAGAGTTAGAATGTGAGGCAACATTATTGTTGCATATCTACGGCGATTGTTGGACGCCTAATTGGTCTAATTGGACCACCGCTTCGTATATACTTACAAGAATATGGCATTTATTATTAGGTTCACTATCCGATCGTTCAAAATGAATGGGAACCGTTAAATTACCGATTCACTCGATTCCTTTATTATATTATTAGATATTTTGAAAGTTAACTTAACATTTCTTCACACTTATTTTAAAATTTAATTAAAAAACTATTTTGTACACCCCGGCCTTAATGTTTAAGATTAAAAAGAGAAGAATGTAGAGAAAATAATCAAGAAATCCCTGCGCAACATTTTTCCTTTTCCTGCGACTTTAAATGTTTTTTGATTGAAACAATGTCTTTCTGCGCACTGCAAGGCTTCAAGGCTTTTGTGGCTGCTATGACCATCTAATAATAACAGAATCATAAAAGATATGTAGGGATTGGGTTAGCCATTTTGCCAAAATTGTACCTAATGCCGTTTCTTTCTGCTATTTCGTATTTCAAATCTGAGCTGGTTAGACCAAAAAAACCATAATTTCTTTAATTCTATAGATTTTGGAGTTACGATTTTTTTGAATTCAATTCATGTACCACAAGGACTTTAAATTAAGATAAATAATTCATATCGTATAAGTCTTTTGAAGTAATAAATTGTGATCACTCATCTCTATTCCACACCATTCACCTATACCAGTACGTTTCAAAACACGCTTTCTTTCTAATAATTTATAGCTGAATTGTAATTTGACGGAAAAGTAAAAAATAAATTATTCTGTTAATCAATATTTTATTTTTAATCCTCTTACAAAGTGACATGTACAAGTAATAAAAGCAGGATAGTAATTTTCATTTACATCTACCGTGTAATTAACTTCCCACGACCGAAAACAGCACGCGCTTGCGTTCGCAATTAACTCTCATTGAAATTGACATGCATTATACGCAATTCTCTGCGTAATACAAACGTCTATTGTGCATATACAAGATTTCTACATTTTGTTGTATTCTGAGAGCCAACAAAAAGAAATAATTTTAAAACATGATTGTTAATGTAATGTAAGTTAATGTAGTTCGTGAAATTCTGTTTTAGACACACACTGGTCATTAGGGAGTTGCAAATTGTCACGTGTCTAGTGCAGGAGGTGGCCTCTAGGGGGTCGCTTTTGTGGGGTTCGGGATCTCGCGGTATTTGAATTTTCCATTAGATATCGCCCCGAGATTATTCGAAACCCCGCCTAAATGGCCGGTTTCTCTCCTCATTTCGAATGCCGCTCGTTTCTTTCTCGTCTTTATTTTACCTTCTCGAGGATCAACGTCACCGAACCGATGTTGGAACGATAACGAAGTTGTTTGCCAAGAAACGGATCACGTACTCAAAATAAAAAAGAACTTTTTACATACATTAAGTTTCACTTTTTTTTTAACAAATAAATTTAATTAATTAAGAGAGATAATTGTTTTAATTTTGGATAGAGTTCGTGGTTTTGAGTTTTCATCTCATTAATTATACTCTATTTTTTAATTCCAAGGAGTGTTTTCAAATTGAAGCGCCAAAAAGAAGGGTTGCTTCTAGGTCTTGTGTTAGTTCTAGTGATAGTGCTAGTATAAAACCAGAACTAACACTAGACCGAGAACTAGAAATTCAGATTTAGCCGCACATCTCTCAAGACCGCTAAACCTGAATGATTCTAGTTCTAGGTCATTCTAGTTCTAGGTCTAGTGTTATACCAGCACTATGCAGAACTAAGACTATACCTAGAACTAGAATCATTTGGGTTTAGCCGCACGTCTTTAAAGACGGCTAAACCCAAATGATTCTAGTTCTAGGTATAGTGTCACTTCTAGTTTTGCACTTGCACTGTCATTAGAACTAATATTAGACCTGGAACTAGAAGCATTCGGGGTTAGCCGCACGTCTCTCAAGACGGCTAAACCTGAATGATTCTAGTTCTAGGTCTAGTACTAGTTCTAGTGTTACACTAGCAGTGTTACTATATAGAACTAATACTATACCTAGAAGTAGAATCATTTGGGTTTAGCCGCACGTCTCCCAAGACGGCTAAACCCGAATGATTCTAGTTCTAGATCTAGTGGTAGTTCTAGTGTTATCCTAGCACTGTTACTACGTAGAACTAAGACTATACCTAGAACTAGAAGCATTCGGGTTTAGCCGCAATTTTCTCAAAACGGCTGAACCTGAATGATTCCAGTTGTAGGTCTAGTGTTAGTTCTAGTGATAGTGTAAAACTAGAACTGACACTAGACCTAGAACTAAAAACATTCGGATTTAGCCACACGTCTCTTAAGACGGCGAAATCCGAATGATTCTAGTGGTAGGTCTTGTTTTATTATTATTTGTTTATTCAGGTTGATTTATATGTGCATAAAATTATAATTAAAGCAAAAATCATAATAAGACATGTTATGGCACGTCCTTTAGATTTATATATAGAACGAAAGTAACACAATAACGTCATTCAAATAATCATAAATAATCGAAAAGTTGAAACACGCCTACATTTTGATAGTTTGGGCGTGGATTTCCGGCACCTCCACCAATATTCTGGCTGAATCAAAAGCGCCGGTCTGGGTCGTTATGACGACGATCCGCCCCCCGTCGACGAAGCGTCGCGACGCCGATCGACGCCTGTACACCTCGAGCGGCCGAACTGAAAGCAGTCGCAGCTGCCAACCGCCACAACCGCGCGAAAAAAAAATCCGAAAAGAATCGAGTATCCAAAAAAAGTTTCAAATTTCGAGATAAATTAAAAACGTTAGTTTTTCAAAGTGGATCAAAGACAGAAAGACGCCGGCGTCGGCGGTTTTGGTTTCTTCGGCGCCTCAACGGCGTCAAATATTCGAGGGATTTTTTCTACCCGGTTCGGAAACGCTTTATCCGATACAGGTAAGAAAAAGAAACCTTTTCATTTTATAATTCTCGAGTTAACTTATTAGAGTGGTTTATGATTTTATAACAAGATGGCTACCTAGGTTTCAAAATGGCCGCGATCAATAGTTATAACCCGGTTACGTCATTTATATATTAATCACCAAAAAAGTTAAATTAGCATAAGTTTTACCGAGTGTTTGTGTACTAAGTGCAACGCAATTTTTGAAACTCAAATTTAATTGGGGTGTGGGAGGAGGAGAAGCAGTGCCTCCCCTCCCGTCTCAAAAAAAAAGAACAAAATAATTAACGCAGTCCAAACAACCTCTGATTACTCTTCCTTTCTGTCCTCCAGGTTAAAGGGATGGCACTGCGACTAGCTCCAACCACACCCCAGCAACTCAAGAAAGAAGTACCAGAAGAAGACGTTTAAATTGAAAGTCAGAAGTTAGAAGCGAAAGAATTTTCGAAATGGCTGGTCCGAGAACCATCCCCATCATCAACATGGAACTAAGTGAACTGAAAGACGTCGTTTGGAACAAGTTGCAAGAACCAAGATCGCAGCGTAAATTAATTTTGGTGATCGTTTCGATCGCTTTGCTTTTGGATAATATGCTGTATATGGTTATAGTTCCTATTATTCCGGATTATCTCCGGTACATAGGTGCTTATGCAGATGACCCGATTGATGAAAATGTTACAGTAGCTCCAGGTAAATTTTTCTAACTTCAAGACAAGCTAAGACAGTAACATGTCAATTTCTTTAAAGGTGAACCATTTAAACATAAACATCACGGCCAAGATTCCGCCACCGGTATTTTATTTGCATCAAAAGCTATCGTACAATTAATGGTAAATCCATTTTCGGGAGCTCTAATCGATCGAATCGGCTATGATGTTCCCATGATGATTGGATTAACCATAATGTTCCTTTCAACGGCAGTTTTCGCTTGCGGAAGAAGTTATTCGTTACTATTTTTCGCGCGAAGCCTTCAAGGTGTAGGTTCGGCTTTCGCGGATACTTCCGGTTTGGCAATGATCGCGGATCGATTCACCGAGGAGAACGAACGATCGAAAGCTTTAGGAATAGCTTTAGCGTTCATTAGTTTCGGGTGTTTGGTCGCGCCGCCATTCGGTGGAGCTTTGTATCAATTCGCCGGCAAAGAAGTTCCATTTTTAATACTCGCTTTCGTCTCGTTGATAGACGGTTTTATGTTATTGTTGGTGATGAAACCGATTAAAACGCAAATTAAAGAGGCTCAAGTGAGTAAACCCCCTTCAGTACCCATTTGGAGGTTATTCATGGATCCTTATATTGCCGTATGTTCCGGGGCTTTGATGATGTCTAATGTAGCTTTGGCGTTTTTGGAACCAACGATTTCGTTGTGGATGGAAGATAATTTAACGACCGAAAATTGGAAAGTTGGAATAATTTGGTTGCCCGCATTTTTCCCGCACGTCTTTGGGGTTATCTTAACGGTAAAAATGGCGAAGAAGTATCCTCATTATCAATGGTTAATGGCGGCCTGTGGATTGGCTTTAGAAGGACTTTGTTGCTTCATCATTCCATTCGCATCATCCTACAAAGTCTTAATGATTCCTATTTGCGGAATATGTTTTGGAATCGCGTTAATCGACACTGCTTTACTTCCAACACTCGGTTATCTTGTTGATGTTCGATACGTTTCTATATATGGGAGCATTTATGCGATTGCAGACATTTCTTATTCGGTGGCTTACGCGATCGGTCCGATTATAGCCGGAGGAGTTGTTGAAGCAATCGGATTTACCGCCCTCAACTTCGGAATCGCAATCTCAAACTTATTATACGCGCCGGTTTTGAGATATTTAAAGGATATTTATGATTTTAAACCGTTTGAGAACGAAGCTAATATTTTAATGGGCGATCCTCCGAACAAAGAGTATCAAACTTATAGTTTACAAGATCATCAAAAAGTGAATACTGAAGAATTCAAAAATCATCTTGAATATTCCCAACAACAAGAAACCAATTTAGATCGAAATGAAGTTAATGGGTATCAACAAGGTTATCAACAAGGTCAGCAACAAGAATATCAACAGCAAGGGTATCCACAACAAGGATTTCCACAACAAGGATATCAACAGCAAGGTTACCAACAACAAGGATTTCAACAGCAAGATTACCAACAGAATCAAAGTAGAAGAGCTCTTCCTGAACAGCCTCAAGGAAATCCTAATCCTTTTCGAGGTCCCGAACAACAACAATCGGCTGTAAGAAATCCTTTTAGACAAGGTTTTAATTAAACGAAAATTTTTCTGAGGGTTGTGTAGTTGCAGAAAAACATTAAGGTAAGAATTAAGATTAATGGGTGATGTAAAGATACTAAATTAAAAAGGAAACATTAAAAAGTACTCCCAGTTTCAATAAAAATGGTACGAAAGCAAAATTTTATTTTCGCTGAGTTGCAAGTTAATGCTGAAGTGGTAATCTTCAGATTTTGTTAATGTTAATCGCTTTAAATTTTTAGATTGTGCAAATTAGTTCACTTTTTCTTGTAAATAATGTAGATAAGTGGACATTTTTTTTTTGTTCACCTTGATTGCTAAAATTTTTGAAAAAATGTTGATATATTTATTATTTTTTTTAATTTCAATCTGTAAATACACAAATTTAACGTGGCATATCTATTAATAAATACAAGATAATATCGTATGATTAATACAAAAAATTGAGAATTCAACTTCAATTTAATATCAAAATAATTTTTGTTTCTTAAAAAATAAAGCTTAGACAAAAAAAGCAGTGAGGGCCGTGAATGGGCGGTATTGCAATGGGACCTTTTTCCAAAGATCTTCTTTCTGTTGCTGCACTTAACGCAGGCATACTTAATATCTTGACAGCTAGTTTGTTTAAGTCACGGGATGTAATTTTTCTACGGATTTTAAAACATAGTTTTTGTAATTCGCGACGGTAACGAAAGCTCTAACAGTACTCAAACGGGTGCTGTAATGAGACTCCTTACAGCATCCGATGCTGTAATGAGATTTTAGTAACATTTTATGGAACCAGTTCAAGTTGGTGACATTGGGTCATTAATTTTTCTAGTTGTCAATGTGACAATTTTTGTCTATGGATGTTTAAACACGTTCTTAGCATCGAATACAAGGTCCACAATGATGAGAATATTGAACACTGAGCAATTTCTCTTATTTTAGGAGGTGTACAGGGTGGTTCAAATTCGATGTCCGAATAGGCTTACTCGGAAACTATAAGAGTTAGAAAAAAAGTAGCTTACATGTCATGATCTCGTTTTTCGAGAAACTGCTAATGCCGAAAACCTCATAGCGCTATCGTCTTTTGTTTTTCCCCTAGAGGCCAAAATTGAAAATATCGTCAAACCAATAAGTGCATTTATCTTGGTTATTATTATAGGTGGAGTATTATAACTACGACTTTATATGGACACTTTTTTACAGAGAATTTCATGACGTAGTCAAAAAATAATTTTTCGGTTTTAGATTTTGAGATATCATGAGAATCTTCGTTTTTTTAAATGGTAACAACCGCTAATTATTCACTTATTAAATTCGTTATTTTTTTCTGATTACAAAAATATAGGGTTCGACAGGTCTATTTCTTATTGTTTTAGAATAAAGCTAAAAATAAACTTTTTTTATAAAATTTCCATCTAGTGTCGTCGAGGAAATTAAATTTACAGTTTCCTGTAAGTTACAGGGCGGTAGGTAAAATCTAAAAAGTTAACAATTAAATACTAAGATAACTTCTGGTATTTAAAAACAAATAATTTTTTAATATGTAACATTCTAACATGTCAAACTTTTCAAAATTTTCGTAATTGATCTTAAAAACAGGATTTTTAAAGTGACACTTCAGAAAATTTTTTAATACAAACAAATGTTGCTATGTTTATTTGAATTAAAAAAAAAACATGCCATCTATCGATAATTTATTAAGTCATTTACAAATAATATTAAATCGCAATAAAAAATGTGAAATAATGCAATCTATTCCAACTTTTGTGTAAAACATATATAAATTAAACAGTTCAACAAATATCAGAAATTTGTTTTTTTAATTTTTAGTTATAGAACAGTAATTTACAGGAAACTGTAAATTTAATTTCTTGGACGACACTAAAAGAAAAGTTTATTTTTAGTTTTATTCTAAAACAATAAGAAATAGACCTGTCGAACCCTATATTTTTGTAATCAGAAAAAAATAACGAATTTAATAAGCGAATAATCAGTGGTTGTTTCCATTTAAAAAAACGAAAATTCTCATGATATCTCAAAATCTAAAACCGAAAAATTTTTTTTGACTATGTCATGAAATTCTCTGTAAAAAAGTGTCCATATAATGTCGTAGTTATAATACTCCACCTATAATAATAACCAAGATAATTGCACTTATTGGTTTTACGATATTTTCAATTTTGGCCTCTAGGGGAAAAACAAAAGACGATAGCGCTATGAGGTTTTCGGCATTGGCAGTTTCTCGAAAAACGAGATCATGACATGTAAGCTACTTTTTTTCTAACTCTTATAGTTTCCGAGTTAGCCTATTCGGACATCGAATTTGAACCACCCTGTACATGAAACATTTTTTTCAGGTGAATACATTTTGTGTTTTGACAGTTTCTAATTGTCAATTCAAATTTCTATTTTCAAGTGTTACGGTGTTACCAACTGCTGCGTACCTATTTCCCTACATTGTCAAAATTTATTTTATTTTTGTTAAAAAAAAGGATAAAAACGCGAATTACAAAAAATAGCATAAAAAACACGTTTCATAAGACTTAAAGCACTCATTCATTCAACATGAATTCGTGCATTTCAAGCGTGTCTTACGAAACTTATTTTTTAATATACTATTTCCTTCTTTAGATCGATAAAGGGCCAATTCTGCCATTACCTCTGCAGACTCATTTGGGCTTGTTACAGTAAACTCTGTTATTTGTATTTGTTCATCTCTATTAAGATGAATTCCATTAAAACTTAGATCTAGAATATTTGCAGCAACATAGACTGGATTTATTCCCATTTGTTTTCTCTTGATTAAAAAGTTTTTTACTTCCCTTTACTCTTGGTTAAGCAAAAGGCTTTAGGAAAGGACTGTTTCAAAATGACTTTCCAAGTCATAGATGCATTCAGCTACTTGAGGTAACCTTGATTTATCTCCTTCCAATTGAGTTTACCAGTGTTTATTGAAATTAAGAAATGAAACTTATTTTAAATTGAAGCTTAAAGCTTTCTGTTTAAATCGATATATAATAATCATTGGGTTGAATTAGAAAAATATTGGGAAAAAGAGTATTGAGTTAAAACTAACATTTTCGTATAACCTAAAAGTATCGCAAACGTCAAGTTGACGTGTTAAAATTTTTTGACAACATGCAAATGTCAATTTTGACGTTTTAATCAAACGATATTTATATAATTACATATAAGATATATAGAATTAAGAAATTAGTATTAAGAAAATAATTTGGATTAAAAAAAGATTTTTCTTTGATTTTCCCATTTTTAAATATACCCAAATATATCAACTGAGATCGCATACATATCAGAATCGCAAGATTCCTCTTAATCTTAAGGAGATAAGTGATATTCGATTAGGATTAGGGCAACAAAAACTATTAAAAAAAAATGTTATGTATACATCACACACAAATATATCTATACACAAGTAGTATTTAAGGATGGAACGATTTTCGCTTGGGTTTCGTTGAATTTCACCGAAAAGATTAGAAAAACATATTTAATTTTATTTCGTAAATTTTTCAACTTGACTCGACAATAGCGTCAATTCTAGCGTGCGAAAAAAAGAGATAATTAAAAAAGTCGTACTCTATATTATCCATATATTATATTACACGGATTTGTACATTGTACAGAAACGAGTTAATTTGACGTTAATCTATAAATACGTTCAGAAAGTGGCCAGAATAAAATTGCTCAGCTCAAAGAAAACTTGTATAGAGGATGTAATCGTAAAAAATCCTTGTATATATTCAAATATCTGGATTTAGATCCCTCCAGATAATTAAACATTGATTTTTAAATTTTTAACCAAACGATTTTTTCCTTATTTTTCTTAATGGGCAAGCAATAAAGAATAAAGACGATTCATTTCGAATTTAAAATAGATTATACTTGAAACATCGAAAGTGCAACATATACATATCCACTTTGGACTTCGTAGAGATGCCTTTAAAAAAACTTAATGTAAGAAGCTTATTTCGACGTAAAAAATTTAAACATATCAGCTAAGCATATCAGAAAAAAGCACTTTTCAACCTAGAATTAAACCTAGAAAAAGTACTTAAATCTTTAATTGTTGACGGTTTCTTCCAATTTATAAATGGTAAATGCAAAAAAAATCCTAATTAAATAAACTGTAGAAATAAACACAAAACTAGCGTATTAATAAAATAAAGAAATAAAATCGGCGTTTCCCCTCCCTTTTTAATATAAATACAAAATCAAAAAAAAAAGAAGAAATAAATATTAAGTGTTTTTGAATGTATTATTGTAAAATGTAAATCACAATTTAGTGATTAACATAATTAGTGGTAAACCCAAATAGGCTTAACTACAAATAATAATAAATAATTAAGACAACTTTATTATTATTATTATTATTACGTTACTTTAAAAGAAAAATTTTTAAATAATGATGTTATCGATTCGAAACTTTTTAAATTTCATTAAAATGAAATGAATGCTTTTTTTAATTTAACAATTATTGCTATAATTCATTTTGTATTATATAAAACAAGATTTATTTTGTGTTGAAAATGATTTTTAAAATAAACGATCATTGTTAACGGAAAATGTTTGTTATTATTTATTAACCAAATTTGACACGGCTATTAAAACGTCGCTAAGACACGTGTCCAGGAAACGTTTTCGTTATTGCGATTGTAGCCGAGTCATTATCAGATTGTAATTAAAATACGGCTGGGGCGCACCCGTAATTGACTAATTCCGACGACCCCCTTTTCGTTGTACGACCAGAGGGCAACCGCATGGCAAATTCACCCCCAAAGCTCTTTGTTATCTCACCCCTAAGTCTGGTCTACGTGAGAGTTTCCCCCACATTTATATTATCAGCCTGTACCTTTGTATACATCGACACACAGTAAAAGAGTTTCAATTTATTCTTATTTTTTAAGGTCAAAATAGAAAATGAGATTTTCTTCGTACAGATCTCAATCACATTCTAGTTAATGAAACGTCATCAGAGACGACATTCGATGCGTGTGTAGCAAATTGATGGGTCACCTTCGGGAATACGGGAGATGAGATGAAACGCCCTGAAGCAAAAGCTTTCTGACGCAGGAAACGAGGTTGTGCCCCTCAATTTCATGTTCCCCCCCGAAAATTCGATTTGGCCTAATCGATGCTCGGCCAAATTAAATAAAGATGCTTAGAAAAGCGAAAACTTGGTCCCTTTTTTATTTTCAAACAACAAATAGATTTTTTTTTGTCATAATCATAATCTTACAAGTAAAGAGTTTTAGGGAAGGTTGTGCAAGAAATTTGGGGATG